ACATACGGACGCTTTAAAAAATATTCAAATTTTTTGGCGGGAAAGCGATCTCGGGAACCACACGAGCAAAGGGATTGAAATTTTGTGCATGCATGAACTAGCTAAAGGTTTCAAATTCAGCCCCCAGATATGCGTGGTACTTATGCAAGAGCGCTTGAAATTTTTAGAGGGAAAATTAATAACTCGGGTACGAGGAAAGTTAGAAAGCTGAAATTTTGGGAGAATGTTCCCTATCGAAGAACAGCTCAAATATTTCAAATTCAGTCCCCAGCTATGCATGGTACTCACGTAATGGCGTATGAAAGTTTCTTCAGGATAATTACTAACTCGGCAACCAGAAGAGCTGGAAGGCTGAAATTTTAGGGTGATGTTCCCTGTCCACGTGCATTTCAAAAATTTTAATTTCAACTTTCCAGGTACGTATAGAACCCACTTACGGGCATGTAAAATTTTTAGCGGGAAAATTGCCAACTCGGTATCCAGAAAAACCGGAAGGCAGAAATTTTGGGAGAATATTCTCTGTCCAAGTACAACTCAAATATTTCAAATTCAGCCCCAAGCTATGGAATTTTGGGAGAATATTCCCTGTCCAAGTACAACTCAAATATTTCAAATTCAGCCCCAAGCTATGCTGGTACTTACGTAAGGACTTATGGAAGTTTCTGCGGAAAGATTGCTAACTCGGCAACTAGAAAAGGTGGAAGGCTGAAACTTATGAGGAAATGTACCCTGTCCAAGTACAACTTAAGTATTTCAAATTCAGCCTTGAGTTTGGTTCTTACGTACAGACACTTAAAATTTTGGCTAAATGTCTGGCTGAGCAAATAGGTCTCTTTTAAAGAACGATCGTTAAGTGGAAAATGTACATCTACTTTATGCAAAATTTATGGTGATTTGTGCTAGTGATCGCAAAGGGTACGTGCAAAGCAACAACCATTCATGCAGTTAATTACTTCAAGTACTTCAAGTCCGGTGCAAAAACGCATGATCGCACGGCCCGTCCGGTGCGTTCCAGCCTGGGTTGTCTCCTGAATATCACATCACCGGTTGTTTCCTTGGCTGAAATATCTACAACTTAGTGGGCTGCTAGAACTTTATTTTCATCTGCAACTGTTGAAGGTATTCCGGAGCATCACCATTTCGTCTTGGGTATTATACCATTTTCAGACTACGGGGCAGTACCGTATGAATTGGGAGAATATTGTTTTCTGTGTTTCTGATCCACTAAATGAGCCAAGTTGTGATGGTTAGTTTTTAATAATTTTACAATTTTTAGATCACACTTACGTGAATTTGTGTAACGTGCCAGCAGCTCTTGGCCTGGAACGGCAGCCATGGTTTCATGGCGAAATGGAACGGGGCATGGCCGAATCGATGATGCGTTATGAGGGGGACTTCTTGGTGCGAATCAGCCCGAATACCACGAACAATTTCGTTCTTTCCGGAATTGCAAATTCTGCTGCGAAACACTTTTTGCTGCTTGATGAAAATGACTTGAAAGTAAGTTATTTCACTCTTCAGTGCTTTTTTTTTTGTTTTAATAAAAATAAGTGCCAGCGGATATGGTGTGCTAGCAAAAAGTGGTACTTTCGGGCTCTGAACGTGGGTATCATCCTACTTTTCTATCGGGGAAAGTAAGTAAAAGACCCCACGGCCGTTTTAGCTCTGTGGGCGAAAGGAATTTGGAACCAGTAAGGGCTCCACCGGTACTGGATGACTGTGAAACCTCGTTCCTTTACGATTCTTTGATTTCGTTCTTATGCGTTTTTGCATAATATGTAAATGCAACCCAGGCTGGAACGCACCAGGCGGGCCGGTGCGATTATGCGTTTTTGCAATTTTCGTGCCGTAGCAAGATCGCAAGGAATCAATGTAGCCAACCCTGTGAAATACTGGCCCTCGAAGTTCGGGAAGTTAATTGTGTAACTATGTGGTATGTCAGTT